ATTTTTCAAATATGATGGACAGTGTCTCAGCTCCTTCGGGACCCATGGATGGATTTCCTCAGGTCCCATGGACTTGTGCAAGTTCAGGTTCTTGAGATGGTCTTGAACCTGATCCTCTCCTACAGTGGGCCTAAGGTCTTCATTCTCACAGTCCCTTCATCTGCCTTCCAAGACTTGGGCATGCATTCTGATTCATTGCCTCATGTCAGTCTTTGTTATATTGAGCAGTACACCGTTGTGTTCTCTAAATTTTGTGCGAGAGCTGAGTTTTTGCTGGCTGTAGCAGCCAGGTTGAAGGCCTCAGGAGGTGCCCTGAGCAGGCAACCTGTGGAAAGGAAGTCTGGTTCTCAGGTATTACCATAACTTAACAAATTGCACATTAATCCTTCACATTCTTCTAAAGAATGTTTCCTTTCACCTCATCCTGGCATCTTCTGGTTGAGAAAAGTAACCTCTAGCCTAAAGTTTGTAGGCCACACAATGGTTCCCAAAACAGGGGATACAGTTTTGTCAAGTATGACACCCAACTGTGTGCTAGAGGGGATTTTTAACTTGGATAATTTCAAATACAGGCACCACAGGCTATTGGTGGGATTTATTTGTTAACTCTGGTTGTCTCCTTGACCAGGGAGAGGTGCAGGCACTGACTGTGATGGGGGTGCAGAAGGGACCTTTGGTGAGGTGTTGTGTGCTGGTGGTTTGAACACAGCTCACAGCTAGCTTAGCTCACATCTCATATCCTTGATGCTAAATATCTCCCCAGAGAGAAGAGAAAATCCTTTAGTGACCATATCAGTTTTAGTGAACTTGGTTTGGCTTTCCTGAATGCCCCTGTAACCTTTTGCAAAGGCCAGAAATTATGTTAAATGAATGCCTTTAATATAAGCCTGAGTTGAAAAAGTAAATAATCAGTGTAACAATGTGTTCCTATTTTATTTTGAAGTTTCTTGGGGGAAACTGGCATTAAAAGATATAAACGGTAATTGTTGAACTGAATAATTGTGTCATGACAATATTTAAGAGCAGGAACAAAGATACTGCTGACAAAATAGACAAAAATGCAGGAGAAAAATGAGAGCAGAGGGTATACTGCACTAGCCTGGTTGAAAATGGGATGAACTTAAATGCCTGCATCTGTTTCTCTGTCAGTTTGGGTTTGTGGCACTGGGTCCAGGCTTTGGTCGGGAGTGCCTGAACTCCCTGGTGGTGCTGCAGCAGGACAGTCATCTGAAGAGCTGAAAAATGTAAATTACTACAGCTAAACTAACAAACTGAGACTGTGCGGCTGGATCTGCATGTCCTCGGTCAGTGGGAATGTGTCTTATTTGTTAGTAGATAACACAAAATTTGTCATTAACATAAACAGAGCTAATGACTAATACCATGTAAAAATCTGTAATCATTTTGCATCCATTTTCAGATTCCTTGTAAGGTTTAAATTTTAGAGGATTATAGATAATTATTCCTTGGCAAGACTGTTTTCAAGTGCAAAAATTTCGATATGCAAATATTAAATAATTCTGTTAAAAAGGTGTAAATTTCTGTGAAGTAGGGGTTGCAGGGAAGGAGAGGAGCATCTCTCTCTGTCTCCACCTCATCTTTTCTTTAAGATGTATGACATTGCTTTACATATATACATTCCTGTTTAAGTTCAGTTTGTAAATGGGAAAGCCCCCTTTTGTTTGAGGGAGTTTTCATACACCAACAAGGAAACAGAAGAAAGAATAGAAAGCACCTGCTACTATTTTTTTATGGGAGCTATCTGGCATAAAACCTGCAATCCAGGATCAGTGTAAAGGGACCTTTCCGCCTGTACCTTACACCTCCTTGCTTCCTGGAGCTCTTTCGTTTATAGGAGGTAGAAGCTCTCCCAGCAGTTGGCACTGACTTGGTGTAGTGGTGAGCTTGGTCCATGCTTCTCCATGTGTCAGTTTCTTGAAAGCAAAGATGTTGTAGTAACAGCTCCAATCCCATATGAGACGTTTGCTCGTAGCTCAGTAGGCTGCAAGGCAGGTCTGCAGTAGCTGTAGCAGACAAGTGTCTGTATTTGGTAGAAAGTCTGGGTTTTAAGATGCTCACTTACCAGAAGTGAGTGACAGACAAAAAAGTGATGCTCAGCTGGTTCTGCCTGTCTGGTGGAGAGGGTCTGAGGTGTGTGTGTCAAAGAAATATGTTATAAATTAACTCATTAATTAATGTTCCTTCTATAGGTGTTGTCAGTGCTTAAGATGCTGTGGAAGGAGAGACCCGAGGCCTCGTACTGTTTGGCTTGGCCATCCAGAGAAGAGAGACCAGAGATACCCTCGCAATGTTATCAACAATCAGAAGTACAACTTTTTTACATTTCTCCCTGGGGTGAGTGTGAGAGAAGTTGCTTTTCCTTATCCCACCCCAATGCTTTCCCTAACTTCAATGGCTTTACAGTAGACCACTTCTCCAGGTGCAGAACCTGGAGCTGGTTTGGGTTGTGTTTGGTGGGCCTCCTGCAAAGGCTGCCTTAGGGCAGCAGCAAACCAGGCATGGATCTGTCCTGGACTACTTTTAAGACTGCCCTAAGTTATTTAGACAGTAGAGAAGCATGCAGAAATGTTTCTGATGGTTAGCTTAACATTCATAACTTCTGAGCTCCGTTAATCTCTTCCCCTTTCTTTTTTCTTTTTTAGGTGTTGTTCAACCAGTTCAAATACTTCTTCAACCTTTATTTCTTGCTTTTGGCTTGCTCTCAATTTGTCGTTGAAATGAGGCTTGGTGCACTTTACACATACTGGGTTCCTCTGGTAGGTCATTTATGGCTTATTTACTCAAGAAGGTGTCAGTGTTTGACAGAATTTCTTGTGCAGCCCTTTCTGTAGGATGTAAATTTGCACCTTAAATCATTTTGTTAGCTTACTTCTTCAGGCTTATACCATATATGTTGTAGTATAGATGCCTGTTCTGGACTTAAGCATTATTCGGTAGAGCTTTGACAGGGATGTGGTAGGACTCCGCCCCCAACTTGTTCATTTGTGGGGTGTTAACAGGCACAGAGCTCTCGCCACTGGGTGCAGTGACTGCAAGGGCAGCAGGGCTTTGTGAATAACCTGAGAAAACAAGTGGAGACTGGAGCAAATATCTTTCCCTGGTAATGTGTGTGTTGTTCACAGCTGCATCTGAACTCAGGGCATGCTTATGGAGGGTCTGTGTGGGCCATTGCGCCATCCTAGGATGATCCATGCTTGTGGGAGACTGGACCAGCCTGGCAACAGCAGCAAAGGACCGAAGGGCACCTTTCAAAAGTGACCTTAATGAGTAGCCATATGTGCAATGATGGCAAATTATGCTCCCCTGCCAAACAGTTTGACCTGTGGCCTTGGGATAGGTCAACAGGCTGTTCATAGTTCAACTACATGGTAAAAACCGAATGAAAAAACTGAGAAGCCCACCACCATGAGCCTCCCACTTATGTGTGTGGAGATGTTTTTACACTGGCTCAAGGTGCAGATACTCTTTCCTTCCTGAAAACAACTTGCCCTTTTCTTCTGATAGCCATGTGTTTTACCTGTAATCAAAGGAAATAGATAATAACCAGTTTTGAAGCAGAAACTCCAGTGCAGAAAGAGGAATAGTTGCATAGAATGGGCTTCTTAAATCTGTAAAATGCACTGCATGAGCCAGTTAAACTGCTTAAATGCTTAAATATATGTACTTACATATTTTTCCTTTTATCACAGTAAAACTGTTATTTCTTTTTTCTATGTGAAAAGCTTCTCTGCTGCACTTCAGCTCCTAGTGTTGTAGAATAATTTTGGTCCAGAGGGACTTCTGTTCCAACTGTCTGCTCAAAGCAGGGCTGTCTTTAAGCTTAGGTTGGCTTAACTCATCTGAGTTTTGAGAATCTCCAAGTACACACATCCTTTTTACTTTAAAGAAATTACATAAACCCAACTGAAATCTGATTCCAATAAAAAGCACAGTGGTCTTCCAAGACACTACTTACGCTCTGATTTGAGAAATGGTGGTGGTAAAAATTTGTGGCTCTATTGAGGGAGCTCAGGAGTGGCAAAGGAGACTTTTTTCCCTGCCTTTTATACTTTCAGAACAGTGAAATTCCTGGTAAAAGCTGAGAAGAAGCAAAGGGGAAAGCTTAGGGATGTTGCTGCTAAAATTCTGTTTGTGTTGAAGGCTGGATCTCACTGAATTCTCCCTCAAGTGTGTGCTGTGCTGCTGTTGCTGTATGAATCTAGTGCTAGTTTTGTAAGGTCCTGTCCTGTAAATAAAGTATACATGCACACAGAGGATCTCTGTGGGTTTTGTATAGGCAGTTGAGCCTTGTCTTTGCCAGGTGAGCACTTTGAATTTGGCGTATGAGCTGCCAGAAAGCAGGATAAGAAAGGTCTTTGTTCATTACGGGCTGCTAATGTGAGTGTTGGGAATGGAATGATATATGAGATGACACAGTGAGTCAGCACATGTGGGAATATTTTGGGGCGATTATTTGAAGACCCTTCGAACAGCTGAAACATGAGTTGAAAATAACTGATGCTTTTGTGTTTTATTTTGGAAAGCAGATAGGAATTTCTAGCTAAATGCACAAATGCCACTTGTAAATAGAAATGTTCATTCTTTTCTTGATCTGTTGATTATGGGAAAGAGATCTTCCACGGTGGTGCAAAACATGTGGTTGTCGTCCTGAATGCTGGGGGGTAAAATGCTTCTCTGGAAATTGCATTAATGGCTTCTTACTTTCAGTGTTTGTAAATACAGGATTGAATATAGGCATTTTTAAAGAAAGTGATTGCCCATCCTTGGGTTTCTTCATGTGTCTTCATTCTTAAATACTGCAGAAACCTACTACATTGCATTTAAATACTAATATTAATTAATCTAGATCATACGTGTATACTAGAATTAGGGACTCTTTGGGTTTATTATAGGGTTGTGAGAGCCGGCAGGTGAAGTTGTACCTTAGTATTTTAATAATTAAGGAAACTGCTGTCCTTCCGTCTTAGTAGTTCTTAGGTCATTCGTCAGCATTTTTCTTTGTTTAAAAATATGTGAGCATTTGAATTGTTATTTAGTGTTAGCAATACTCCACAGCAAGGCTTTCCCTAGGTGGCTGTGAAGTTCAGGTTCACAAGTTCTTTGCGCCCAGCTTAACAGCTCATACACACAGTTTTTGGAGGCGTGTGCATAGCTGTTCTTTCTAAAAATGAAGTTACTTAAAGTTGGAAATTACAACCCACTGGCAAAATCTCCTATTTGGATAGGTGTGTATTTACAAATACTGTCATGTGGTTTTCATGTAACTCCCAGTTTCTAACATCACCCTGCCCCTTCTTAAAATAAAGAAGTTTCTTATTAGTAATCAGTACATGGTTGCAATTTTCAAGCATACAGATTGTAAAAACTTCATTTTTTCTTCCGTAATGAATGAAGAGTGTTTTATCTGTTCAGTGAGCCTGAGCTGAATGGTGCCTAATGAAAAAAATGACTTTGTAGTACTAGCCCCATGAAGAATTTTGCATTCATTTAGTTATTTTTTTATATATAGTGAAGGATGTGATGTGGGCATTTTCCTCATGACAGGAGGAAATGAGATGACTTCTCACATCCACAGAAAAGTAGGACTGAAACCCTAATTAGGCAAATGTGTAATCACACTATGAGTAGTTCGCACTAGTATATTTAGGGTGCTTATTTGTGTAGGTTGAGTGTACGTATGCATACACATGAATACATATGCATTGTATCTGTATATATAAAAAGGGGTTCGTGTAGATTCCTATATAAAGAAATCTCCCAGGTTAGGTGAGCTAACTTTGATGTCTCTGTAGTGGAGAGAATATTGAGATTTGAGGGATGCTTTGTTACACTGGACTTTTGTGTAACCCCTCTCAGTCTTAATTGCTCACCTGTGAAGTGAGATGTTGTTTACACTCTTCAGATAAACTTTACAAAGGTTTTCTTGGGGAGAACTGTCAGAGCATCGTGGTAATGCTGAGAAACAACCACAGGGTTTTTTAAGCAACAAGTCTGTTGTCAGTTTGCTATTGGAAGTTCCACTCAGCAGCACATATCACTATAATGATTTAGTGAGAGAAGATAGAATAAGGAAATGCAGATTGTTGACATTGGTACTGATAAATACTGCTCTTATTAGAGGCAGATGTGATTTTTTTTCTCCTGACCTTTTCATCCATTCTCTTCCCCCCTCCATGCTCCTTTTAGGGATTTGTGCTTGCTGTTACTGTCATCCGAGAGGCCGCGGAGGAGATCAGATGTTACATGCGCGACAAGGAAGTGAACTCGCAGATCTACAGCAAGCTCACAGCGAGAGGTCGGCTCGGCGGCTCCAGCATGCCTGCTGCATCCCGGCACGGCCGCAGCGGCACCGGGGGTTGCAACTCAATCAAATGCTGCTGACAGTTGGAGAAGCAGAGTTCAAGGAATGGGGAGGGGGTTATGGGCTCACAGGCACGTGGCTTTGTAGCCACGCTGCTGCTCCTGCACCCTCGGGGGGCCGCGTGGCTTCTCATAGATGGCTCCTTGCCAGGCTGTGGTGGATGCTGGGCTTTGCTGAGGGTTTCCTAGACAGATGCACAGCTAATGTGAGGCGGGTGCGTGTTAATTGCCTCATATAACTGCAGAGCATCATCTTGGCAGCTTCGAGGCATGGGGAGAGGGCTGCCAGTGTGTCTACATGTGCAGAAGCCTGCTTGGTGGGCTGGGAGGTCACTGCAGCCAGCACCAGGCAAGGCTGAACTTCCAAGCTGCTGAGGGGATAGTTTGAAACCCTGCTTGTTCCTAACTCCAGTGTAGGCCAAAACATCATTGCAGTTATTGTCCCTTCTTGGTGGACTGGAGTCACCAAAGAAAATGAAATTGGACCTGAATTGCTCTAGGTTGTGGAGGTGGATGTTTCCAGAAGGGAAATGTGTTTTCCTTCCTGCAAAGCTGTGACGCGAGAGGAGCACTCTGTGATGTTGAATAGATGAAGGGAGGGAGAGGCAAATAGAGCAATCAGTGTAGTAGGAAGAAAACAAGCATGGAGCTAAAGTAAATGTGGTATGATGTTTGGGTTCTGTTTTTGTTTGCTTCTGGTTTTGGTAACGGTGTATCTGTCTTCCCCTGTGTATGTTTTCTCTTGCTTGCCCTGTCAGTAAGAGAAAGAGATGCAAGCTACCAATTCATATTCTTTAATGGAAACAACAAATGTGTGCTTAAAACAGGGAGGAGGATCCACATAGGCAGATAATTTGCAAAAATAGTTGTCATGGTTTGAGCGCTGAACCCAGGACAGTAGTTTACTAGAATAATTAAATCTAGGTCTGTGAAACTGTCAGGAGATGGTTGTGCAGAGGGAGATTCAAGTAATGAGGGTGAAGGTAGCCTATGTTCTAGTGTCTTAAGACTGGGGACCCTTTGAGCATAAGTACCACAAGTCATAATTAAGTACTGTGTGTATGGAAGGAGGTTGTGAGTGCATGTGTTAAATTTAAGGTGAATTGCTTCATGTAATGACATGTTCTATCACTTACTGAAAGTGCAGTACCTGTTGAGTTTCATAGTTTTTTTCTGTGTTGTACCAGACAGGGACTTGTATCATGCAAGTCCTTTGCTAAAAGAGACTGTGTGATATGTTGTCACATCTTTTGTGCTTCTGTTAGCAGCAACTGGTGTAGTTCCTCAATATTAGTGATATCTTCTCTTCTGTATGTCATCTTTAGCCCCTTAAAACTGTGAGGAGTTTGAGACCTCACTTGTGGGTGAGCCCAGGCTGCAGCTCAGCTGTGTCTGATCCCTGGCTCTGGCTGTTGTTTATAGCTGTGCCGTACCTAACAAAGACATTTAAATTCTCATTTGAAAAATGGAATGCTGCCTGACTATGGAGTTGCTCCTAATACCATAACAATGATGGTGAGGCCAGGGCTTTGTTTTTAAAAAGGAAATGAACTGAAGTTAAGCAACTTCTTTTTTTTCATTTCCAGTTTCTTGTTATAAAAGTTTATACCCCTGAATTAAGATGCAGTGAACTGGACTTAGTAAAAATATGCTGCTTTTAACATTTACACTTTTAGAAATAAGGCTACTTTTAAAATATAATTGCTTAAGGCTGTATATATTTCACATGCTGAGAATTATGAGGCAACTCCAAACTAGAGAGTTTGAGTTTCTGAATATAAAATCCCCTTTTAATAACGTATTCTTACAACAACACTTAAAATGCTTGGCAACCAACAAAAGCTTCATCCGAGAGGGGTGTACTAGATCTATTTAAAGATATAAAAGAGTTGCCTTCTGGATTCTATTCAATGATCTATAAGGGGCCTGACCTCTCCCTTGGTTCTTTTCATATTGCTATTACGTTTCCCATGAATGATTTCCCTCCCCCCAGTCCTTTAACTTTTCTAATTTTCTGAAAGAAACTAAGGAGAATTGGCAGCTGGGCACTAGCTGAAAATCTTAAGCCACTTTATTTAACATGAATTTGGTGCAGAAACAGGAATGAGGCTCTCCAGCAGTGTAATTTAGACTAGAAAAAATACAGAAAATTATTTATGATTGTCTTGTGGTTTGGGGAGAAAAGTCATTTTCTGTCTCTCACTGAGTCTCAGTAAAGTTTTCAGGACACCTGAACAACTGCTTTTCCACTGATTAAAAACCTAGAAGCAGGGGATTGAGTACCTTGTGAGGCCCCCATGGCTGGGGGATGGAAGAGTGTTGGCTTTGGTTTATTGTACCTATTAATACAGTTAGGGAAAGTAGGCAAGCTTTGAAGGAAGCCCTGCATCAAGTCAGAAGCAGAAGCAGCAAATATCAGAGTAAGTTGAGAACAGCTGACCTTAACCATTAATTTTCAGCGTGGCTGACAAAACTCCAGGTTTTGTGGTGGACTTTTACAGGCTTTTTTGTTTTTGTTAAATAGCACAGTTCATGCTTCAGGATACTGGCATACTGAATGGGGGCAGAAGGCTACAGATGCACGAAAGTCATCTGAAATGTTGTTATATGTATTTTTTTTAAACTTCACAATAGTTTCATCTCTAAAGCCAGTGTTTTGGGAAAGGGAGATTAGGTGAAGCTTGACACTGAGCTCTGCTGTCTTGAAGACTAGCTATAATGGATCTAATGGAGCACTTTCTCAAAGCTATTTTTTTATTTCTCCTGAGTGTTTGCACTAAGCTGCAGTTAAGGTGAATGGAGAATAGCTTCTCCCATCTCCAACCTTGGCCTCCCAGTACAACCCCACAGATGTAAATACGTACTTAGGTCTAAATGAAGTCAGGCAGACTTAAGCACAGGCTTATACACAGTTTTGAATAGGGATAGAAGTAAGCACAGATTTAAGTGCTTTCCCAAACCAGGATCCTCTTGTCCCCTTTGTGTGTAGTTCCTTGTGCCCTGAGTAGAGCCAGGGCTGGAGTGGCCGGGCACAGCCCCTGCCTCCAGTCAGGAGCTCTCCAGCTCCAGCACTCTCACCAGCCTGGTCTCCCACCTCTGGCGAGTAGTTTGGATATACATTTTTGCACACAAACTTTTTTCATGCACTTTTGTTAAGCTTTTTAAGATTCACTAAGTCGCTTGCTTTGTAGAGAAAAGGGAAGAATCTCTTTGGGTCACATCTTATTTCTAACATAGTTGCAGAATTCTGGGAACTAATCTTTTTGGAGGCTGAACAGACAGGAGTGTATTTTCTGTGTTCCTTTATTTCACATAACATCAAAAAACTTCCACCCTGAACCTCTTTTTCTAGCGATATGATCCTGTTATGTTTTAAAATGATGAAACGAGACTTCTGGAAAGCTATTTTTTTAAATAGAAAGTTCTCCATTTACAGGACAGTTGTTTGGATTGTAATAAAAAATAATCAAATTTCAATCCCCTATTCATAAACCTACAAGCCTCCTTGTGTGCAGAAGTCTGTGTGCTGACTTTCTGCTTGATAGAAAGCTAGAACCGTGCTTGCAAATTCTTGGTTTGTTTTTCTTCTCTCACAGCCCCCCCTCCGTGGGTAACACTGCATAATAGAGAGAAACTCCACAGAAAGAAATGGGAAGAGACCTCCTACTGCGGGGTGCTACTTAAGATACAGATCATTGGCATTTACCAGCCATATAAAAACAATATTTTCCCAAACCCTCTGAGTCCTGCTCCACAGTTTATACAGCATAAGGCTGCAAGAGACAGAAGTTTGGTGCAGCACATCCAAACAACTTTTTTGTTTTTAAAGATGCATTTAATTTATTTTAACAAACCTCTGGCTTCATCTTTAATTCCAAATTAAGTGTTTTCATCTGTACCTTAGTGAAGCTCTGCAGAGCTGTTGTGAAATCTTAAGTGCTCACATGGTGGAAAAAAGCATCTCTTCTGACTATATTTAATAATCTGCATTATGGTTCATCCATCACACTGAAGATTTTGTAATCGTTTCAAAGACCAGAGCTTAAGCTGGAACAAACTGGTTGCATTCTATTATGTTTCCTTTTTTGTCTTCAGTGTCAGGATACAGCAGAAATGAACCAAATACCAATCAAATTTTAAGAGCAGATTCCACCACCCCCACCCCCCCCAAATAAGAAATCAAGACTAGTTGCTTTTTAAAACTGTTTCAGTCACCAATTTGTATTTTGATTAACTTGAGAATATATAAACTGGAAGCATTGTAAGTGCTAAATAAACCTGTGTGTCTTCAGAGAAAGTTCTTTAGATGTATTTATAAAAGCAGTAATTTATTATTCCAAAAATACTTCATTAGCAGAGCAATACTGGGAAATGAAGCACTTCTATTACTAGCTAATTTCTTAGACATGCATGAGAAAACATTTAATGTTTAGGTGGTTGTTTCCCCCCAGAAAGAAAAAGGAATTACAGAATTCCCAAGCTCAAAATAAAACTAATTCAAGTAAGTTGCTTTATGGGAGTCCTGAGTCAAAGGAAACATCTGGTCCTGCGCTGCCTTAGCAGGACGTGTGGTACGTACTGCAGAGATGTCATCCATGAGAGGCCAGGAGTATGGCTGGAAAAGCAGAATTAGCTTTGCTACCCAAATAGGCAATCTCATTTATACAGGAGTTATAAAAATGTGTATTGGTTAGAAAGGTCCTCTCTTTCTTCTGCCTTAAAAGAGCTGAGGTTGGGAAGGTTATTGAACAAGACAAATCTGCTCCAGCTGCTTTGATTTTTCTCAGATTGGAAATATTTAGAAGCAGATGATAATTGCTTTCGGAATAATGATCCAGAAAGCCTTTTATGTGCATAATGATAGGAAATCATCACGTCGTAGCTTTGGCCACGTGTTAATTTTTCTTTTCCAGCGTTAATTTACATCATTAAGGAAAGCGCTACAAAAATAAGTTTCCATTCCTGAACCTTGCAGGTCGTGCTTCCTATACTGACAGTCATCAAATAAATCCTTTCTTTTAAAGAGAAATACATAAAACATGGTTAAACAAATCCACTTCTCTTCCCAAGAGCTTTTTTGCACATTGGTTTAGGAATTGCTATTCCTGTGTGGGGAGAGCACATGGGCGCTTTTTCCCTTCTTTGCACAGGAGAATATTCAAAAGCACTTTTTGTTGTTTTGTGAATAACCGTATTAAAAGGGGAGGAAGAGATGTTATCTGTCAGACCCTTTTAGTGTCATAGTACCTAACTTTGTGTAGCCCATACAGAAGACTGCCAGGGATGCTTTTTTTGATCCTCTTGGAGTGCGGCTTTTCTTTTCAAGCCTCTGCGTAATGGACTCTTAATCCCCAGTATGCTTCCTGCCCCGGCAGAGATGTCTTTAGCCCAGCATTCATTTTGTTTACCTTTTTTTTTTTCTAACTAAAAATCTCACAAGGCAAAACCTAGAATCCACGGAAGACCTATGAGATATTTGTGAAATGGGCCATGACTGCTTATAATTTGTAGGAATAATTACAGCATGTAAGGAAGTCTGCATTTATTAGCAGCAGTGATGAAGCATGTTGTTAAGCACACAGTGTGTCACCAGAGCAGCAGGCTGCTGGGAGCCCAGAATGGCTTTCATTGTTAATTTGGAGCAGAAACACTGAAGCATATCCTGAGAAGGATGCTAATGAAGGGACTGCCAGTAGTAAAATCCTAGTGACCTTTGTGCTTTGTGCTAATTTCTATTCCCCCTCCCTTCCCCCTTCTCCTTTCCCCCTGAGCTGCTATCTGGCCAGTTAGCCCATGAATTTTGAGGTACAGTAGGGGTGTTATCCATGCTGGGGTGAGCTCCCCGTGCCTCCCCCACTTCCACTCAAATCACAGCAGATTAAAGAGGCTTTTGTTGAAATCTAACAGGCAGACACATAGAGGCAGGGTTCAAATTAACTGATTATAAATCAGTAGTTACTCTGAGAAGCCAAATCTAGAGCTGGCTAATGATTTGAGATTACTAGCCAATTGTTAAATTAATCCCCTGTTTTAAAGCAACTGGGAAATGTTTGACAGCTGCAAAGAAATAAATATTTATGTGTTTTCTGTAGGACCTGTGCTCTACAGGGCTTGTTTCAGGCTGTGTCTGTTGAGAGGTGATGGAGAGGTGGTAGAGCTGAGCCAGATACAAGAGCTGCGGCATAGAAGGAAATGACCCTTAAAAAGATGGACCCATTGTACTTACGGCTTCTAGGTCTTGGCTTGAGAGTTGAGCTTTACATTTTCAGCCACCTAAGGAAGAGGGGTTGGGAGTTGATGGTTCCCTACTGTAATTTTGCTATGCTTGCCCTGTTTGATGCCTGACACTGAAAATGGGTTTGAATTCTTGGGTTAAGCAGTACAACATAAGGGCTTGTTTCACAGTGGTCACTAGAGAGTGACCAGGGGTTCCTGCAGCCAGAGGTGAGGTCTGGGGGTGATAGATGAGAAGCTTTCAACCATTTTCACAGATTGAGACCCAGTGGGAGATACGAGCTTGGTGACTCTTCACAGGGCAGCGTTGCTTAATTCTTGTAATAGAAATAGTACCCATTTTCTCCAGAATAGTGAGGTGGAAGGAAGGGAAGTAAGGAGCACCACACAGTACCCACAAACCCTGTCCTACTGCTGCTCTAATGATACCTCTCCTTTGCAGGGACTGTGAAGGTGAAGAGCTCTAATATACAAGTAGGCGACCTCATCATTGTTGAAAAGGTTAGCCTTTATGTGTATCGTTTCTGTGTACTTTTTTGCAAGACCATAGAAAATGAGATATTTTGAAGTCATACTTGTTTTATGATAGACTTAGAACATCAACTGATGAACACTAGTTACAATATTTAATCACTCTTCTGTGTTTCTCATCCCTCACCTCACCAAAACAGCATCATCATCTTTACCAATGAGTGCACATCTGTAGATATGCACCAATAACCTAATTTTTCCACTTACACTATATCAAAACAAAAAGCCTCCCTGGTTCTATCTCTAATTGTGGGACATAGGTTAAATACCTTATACCAATATAACATCCAAATGTTGCTTTGGGTGTAATCAGCAAAAGTATTGGGAGACACAGTGGCTTGTTTGTGAACACTGCTATGTACAGGTATATTTCCCCCTTTCTACAAGTTTGTGTGGGTTTTTTTTATCCACTGATTTTTATTTTTATGTTTCCACACACTCTGTGCAAGCAGCTATGACCTCTAAAACCATCAATATGAAAATATTCAGTATAAGAAAGAGGAGAATAGTAGCTGTAGGTTTGAGATACATGGTTTGTTCTAGCATGGGACTTCTGGAAAGGAAACTAGCACTAGTTTAAAATGTCTTCATACTTGTAGAATTACTAGCCCTTTTGTACACCTAGTAGTTGGTGGGTCTGGTCAGTGGGAATTGGCACCAGTTACTATTCTGCACTTGGAATTCTGCAGGGAAGTGATTTTAGGATTCAAAACAATGAATAGTGAGCTTCAGTTTGACAAAGAAATCCTCTTTCTCCTCTATATCGCCTTTGCTTGTCACAGTGGGGCTGTGGAAGGCGGCTGCACACTTGTGCAGGGCTGTATGCACAATAATGGCCTTTCTTCTCCTAACAGAACCAGCGGGTCCCTGCTGACATGATCTTCCTGAGGACATCGGAGAAGAATGGTAAACATCTGGAACCAATTGTCAAAATAGCCATTAACCTTTCACTGTTTGTTTAGAGAAAATTATCTTCTGGAAATGTGAAAGAAATAGATAATAGTAAAATTTTAGAGAGACAGAATTCAGATGGTTTTATGGGCCACTGCTTCTCGACAAACAAAAACTCTGGTTTTGTTTGCTCGTCAAAGAATGTAGGTGGTTGAATCCAGGGTAAATGAATCTGGTTGTGTAACAGTTCGCATTTTAGATGTAAATAACTTTACTTGCCCTTCAGGTTTGTTTCGTTAATTGTGGAATAAGGAAATGGTTGATCAGAAGGATTAGAAAACACAAAGACTAATGAGAACATTTGAAATGTCTTAAAGATACAGTGCAGAGTCTCACTGTGTTCTGGACCAGTGGAAGGAAATGAATGTGTCATGCAAGAGTATCTTTCTTACATTATTAACAAATATTACTTGAAATCAGATACAGTTTCCAAAGAAAGAAGTGTGTCCTAGATAGAAAGCCATTTAGTGAGCTATAGGTGGACCTGAGACAGATCTGGAAAGAGCACTGACTGGTGTTGAAAATCCACAGGATCTTGCTTCCTTCGCACTGACCAGCTGGATGGTGAGACAGACTGGAAACTGCGGCTGCCTGTTACCTGTACTCAGAGGCTGCCAACTGCTTCTGTAAGCTGCCTTTGTACAAAACACTGTACTTGGTAAATGAGTGTATCTGTTTGACCTGAAAAATGGTTGGGTGCATCACTTAATGGGCTGTTTTGAGAAACAGGTTAATGCAGTGTTATTCTGCACAGGGCTCAGTGCATGCTACACCTTAGCTTTGGCAACAAACATAAGGCTGAACAAGCTC